ACAACTATTATACAACCCATAAAAGTCACAGTTTAAAAATTCCAACTGGGACTGCCAAAATAAAAGCTAAATCAATTCAAAATGCAGTCCTAAATAAAGCTGTCTTCAACTGGCTCCTGAAGATCGACAATGAGGAGGCCAAGTGTACCTCCCTGGGGAGGTTGTTCTGTAATTGTGGGGCTGCCATGAAAAAGGCCCTCTCTTGTGTGCCCACCAAATGAGAATATTTAATTGGTGGGACAGTCAGGAGGGTATCTTTCTGCAATCTTAATTCCCAGGCAGGAACATATGGGAGAAGACAGTCCTTCAGATACCCCAGTCCCAAGCCATGTAGGGGTTTAAAGGACAAAACAAGCACCTTGAACTGGGCTTGGTAGTGGATCAGTAGCCACTGTAATTGTTATAGTATTGGGGACATCTGCTCCTAATAGCTGGCTCCGCTGTGTAACCACAGCGTTCTGCACTAATGGCAGCTTCCGAATACACTTCAAGGGTAGCTCCAAGTAGAGCGCACTGCAGTAGTGCAGTCTAGGTGTCACTAAGTCATGGATCACTGCGGCTAGGTCTGACTGAACCAGGAACGGACACAGTTGATACACCAGCTGGAACTGGTGGTTAAATGAAGCTGTGGGCTATGCCGTGGAGGGCCACCCAAGACGGACAGGCCACAGCAGAGAACTCAGACCAAGTGTGATCCCCTGGAGAAGGAAATGGCAACCCACTCCAGTATTTTTGCCAAGAAAACCCCATGGACAGTATCAAAAGGCTAAAATATATGACGCCGGAAGATGAGCCCCTCAGGTCGGAAGGTGTCCAATATGCTAGTGGGGAAAAGCAGAAGGCAAGTACAAGTAACCCCAGAAAGAGTGAAGCGGCTGGGCCAAAGCCGAAAGGACGCTCAGTTGTGGATTTGTCTGATGGTGAAAGGAAAGTCCAATGCTACAAAGAACAATACTGCATAGGAACTTGGAATGTAAGATCTATGAATCAAGGTAAGCTTGACGTGGTCAAAAATGAGATGGCAAGACTGAACATCGATATCTTAGGAATCAGTGAACTAAAGTGGACAGGAATGGGCGAATTTAACTCAGAAGACCATTATATCTACTACTGTGGCCAGGAATCTCGTAGAAAAAATGGTGTGGCCTTTATAGTCAACAAGAGAGTGCAAAAGTCGGTACTGGGATACAATCTCAAAAATGACAGCATGATTTTGGTCCGATTCCAAGGCAAACCATTCAACATCACAGTACTCCAAGTCTATGGCCCAACCACTGATGCAGAAGAGGCTGAAGTGGACCGGTTCTATGAAGACCTACAACACCTCCTAGAACTAACTCCAAAAAATGATGTCCTCATCATCATAGGGGACTGGAATGCTAAAGTAGGAAGTCAAAAGGTAACCGGAATAACAGACAAGTTTGGCCTTGGAAAGCAAAATGAAGCAGGGCAAAGGTTAACAGAGTTTTGTCAAGAGAACACACTGGTCATAGCGAACACCCTTTTCCAACAACCTAAGAGGCGACTCTGCACATGGACATCACCGGATGGGCAACACCCAAATCAGATTGACTATATAATTTGCAGTCAAAGATGGAGAAGCTCTATCCAGTCAGTAAAAACAAGACCTGGAGCTGGAATAGTACAAAAGTATATTTTTTAAAAAAACAAAAAATAACTACCAAAAAAATCCTTTTGCACTTGTTACTAATTTTACAGTAAATAGTGAAGGACCCAATAGCTTTCTGTGTTGTCCCTTACTATTTAAACACCTTTTTATGAACTCTGGCAATCTCAGCTGGTATTCAAATAATAACTTTAAAGAAAAGTGAAGGTGGTTTGATTAATAGAATCATGGGTGGCCACTGTTTTCTATTTGGATTAGGTTTCTGGGCAAACAGTTGGAGGATAACAAAAACTTGCAAAGCCTGTTTGACCATTTAGCAAGAAACCGCTAATGAACATGTCTACCCAAGGCCATGATGGTTCTGTCATACTGCTTTTGGGCCTCTGAAAAACTGCTGCTTATACACAGTTTCAGATTCCAGTCTTCACTGTGTGTGAATAGTACTTAAAAGTTATGTTCTGTATGATTAGCCACACCTATAGCATTTCCAGGACACAAAGTCCATTTATCCTCACGACCACCCCACCAAGTGGCCATAGGTAGAGAAACTTGCTCAAGCTTTCCTAATGAGTTTCAATGTTGAGAGGAGATTTTGCACTGGTTCCCTCACTTAAAGTCTTGTGCACTGACCACTGCTTCACACTAGCACAAATGTGGTCCATTTCAGATATTTACCACTTGAAATTAAATTAACTAAACTTGTATCAGATGCATTTAAGGAATGGCATGTGTTGTGGCAGATAGAACAGTTTAACCCAGTACTGCTGATTCTATTATGTATTTTAATATATATTTTCATTTTCAGTTGCCATGTACTTTGGAAACCTACATATTTAAAATACTACTGGAATTCTTCAAAAATATTTTGTCATCCGTTTCCCAAAATGTAGTTAATAAATTACAGACAGCAAATTAAAAAAACAGAGTATGCTCGTGCGCGCTCTCTCTCTGTGTCTCTGTCTCTCTCTCTCTCTCTTCTACAAGTTAAGAGTATTGTCCTCATAAGGTTCTGGTGGCTACAAAGAGCAATTATTTCTAATCTATATCAAACTGAATTGTGGCTGAAAACATACTTTGAAACGTACAATGTAAGAATCCCAGAAGTGGAATTACAATTAAGCCTCCAGTGTAGTCATGCATTATTAGTCTTGCCTACCTAAGATATATTATACCCTAGTTATGGTGCATTTTTGTGATGCCGAACAGCAGTGTCACTAGTTGATGTGTTCTGGCTTGTTCAGAGGCCTGACAAGATGTGTCAGGTATAACTTACAGCTAATTTAAATGGGTTTTTAACAGATTGTTTCCCAGCATATACCTAAAGTATGACAAAGTATATAGAACATATATAAAAGATTTTTAAAGTTCGCAATTAAGCTCTTTCTCCCCTGCTACTGTAGTCCAACACTGAGTCCCCATCACCAGCTTCTTACCATTTCAGCACTGATCCACACCATGCTGTTGTCCTGTTCTCTCTGTTCTTGAAAGCACATGGTTAGAAGACAGATTAGAACAGGAAAACTGGAAGCATATCCTTCAAGAGGACTTTGGTGGATCCATATGTAACAATTCCCAACAAGTAATGCATGCCACATGAAATGAGAGCAGTTTTTCCTTGTGGTTCTTTCACATCCGGGCACCTAAGTGTTAGGACAACTAAGATGCTTGCAACGGACAGCATCTGCAGTTGAGAGAAAAGCCATGGAGACAACGGCAGCCTGGGTTGGATTGACCTGATGCAGTAATTGGAAGGAGAGAATGGATGGTGATAAGCATAGTTTAATGTTGTCCTTATAATTCGTTGAGACATTCAGCCTGGTAAATAGGTCCCTTTATAGTTTTGTAGATGGGTTGAGTTCATCGATCTGGACTACATTAACTTAAGCTGGAACACTAAACTGTAAATTAACCAGGGGCTCAGTCTCCTCCTGCCATTCAACCCTAGATACCCAGGATAAAATATTGTTGCATGTTCATTGGACATCTGAGCAGTGAACAGAGCCAACCTAACTCATGGTAGTAACAAAAACGCTAGGGTTGCCTACTCCTGCTAGGGTTGCCAGCTCCAGGTTGGGAAATACCTGGAGATTTGGGGGGTGGAACCTGAGGAGGGCGGGGTTCGGGGCATAATGCCATAGAGCCCAACTTCCAAAGCTGCCATTTTCTCCAGGTGAACTGATCTCTGTTGCCTGGAGATCAGTTGTAATCCCAGGAGATCACCAGCTACCAAATGGAGCTTGGCAACCCTAGTTCCTACTCAAATCTTCTGAACTGAAAAAGAAGAGTTTGTGATCTCACTGGTGCTCCTGATTGTTTGTTTTTTCTCAGAGCAAGGCTTTTGAATGTTCAGTGGCTGCATGTGGTAATATGCAAGGCTGGATATGAGTTCTGTCAAAGTATAGTGCAGATTCAGCTTGCCTAAAAATATTTTACTGCAATTCTTAGTGCTGGATAAGTTAGCATTGTTATGAAACTGCCTGTTATCTGTCTATCCCAGTATCGCTTACTATGGCAGGACAAGGCTTTCTGTGGTGTCAGTCAAGTAGAGGTGTTTTTTTCTGTTCCATTAACTAAGATCCTTTAAACCAGTGATGCCAGTAATTAAACCCAAGGTGTTTTGCATACAAAACATGTGCTCTGCCACTAAGCTATGGCCTGTTCTTTATTACCTTCTACACTTGTGCATTTAAATTCAGCATTTTGTAATACAACCTAACACGTTAGTTACCTTTCGCTTTATGCAACAGATAGGGCAGGGCTATGATAGGTGAGTCAGTAGTTCTAACTATCTTAATGCCTGTAATGAAATGTTGCTGTAATGAAAATATGAGCCACAGGATCACACTATTCTGGATCTAATGAAACCATTGCCTTAATTGCATCTATAGTAGAAAGCTTTTCTTTAGGTAATCAACTGCTAAAAGGTTGTAATAAATTAGTGTGTTTTGGTATTCTGCTACTACTTTATGCGCAGTTTGTCATGTGTGCAAAAATTAATGCCTTTAAATAGCCTTGGAGAGCCATGAAACTCAACACACTTTCACATGTGCACTTAAACGCTTTTTTGGCATAATTTGATTGGTTAAAGACATTAATTACCCTTGCAGTGTTCATCACTCCCGTACTGTATTGATTTTAACAAGGCTGGTTTTAGGAGTCCTGCAAAATGGAATAAACAATGTCAGCAGCAATAAATATGAAATTTCTTAAGCATTAAATGGAAAGTGAAGATTATCTCATGTATTTTCTTCATTAAATTAAACTGGATACAGTCATTAGTTTGAACAAAACAGAATCTATGTTACTAAACTAAATAACAGTCTGCCCCCTCCCCCAATTTGCTGATTATACTTGTTTTGTTTTTTAGGATTTTCTTGGCTTTTAAAACTTCATGGATCGGGGCTAATATTTCCTGTGGCTTCTTCATGCAAATAACATTATAGATAATTCACTCACCTCTGCATTATCCTGAAGACAGATGAATATGTTCAACAACCATCTCTTTCTGTACTACTGGACTACCATATGCCTTTTCAGTCTGCTGGCAGCTTTGACAGCTGCTGAAGATGTCACAAACAGCACTTTAAACCACACAGACATGCTCTTAGGATCTGTGCCTGTAGTTATCTACAGAGTCGATCACATTACAGTGAAAGAAGGTTACAGTGCCTTGATTGACTGCAATGTTCAAGGTCACCCTGGCCCAGAGTATGAGTGGTACAACTCCAATGGCCATTTGCTGAAAGACGATGAGGATGGAGGTAAGGCTTTGAGAAAAACTATAACTGCCTTATCCTGTCTTTCTTGATTTAAGGGCTTGAGGGTCTTTGGAGAGTGGGATTTGTTGGGACTGAATCCACCATCCTTGTTTTGATACTGCTTTTCCAATCAAAGATCTTGCCCCTGTTTAGTATATCCAGGGACTTAGCTCCACATACAAAGGGATTTAACACAGCCACAATCCTCCTTTCCATGTCTGTCCCTCTCAGCCCAGGCCTGGCCAGCTTTAAATACACACTGGCATACTTCACATCCTTGTAATTTCTTGCCCTCCTACAAGACATGTGGCCTTGCGTGGGCTTTGTTTTCATTGGTGTGATGACCACTCCCATTGATGTTGCTGTCTTGCAGTGGTATCTTCTGTCCAGTGTACTGATTGCTATGACCACTATTGCTGTCCCTGGCCACAAGGTCATTGCATTGCCTGGCTGTGGGGCCATCTTTTGTAAGCCACCCCGAGCTGAATACTGGATGGGGCGGGATATAAATCCCAAAATAAATAAATAAATAAATATTATTGCTGGTGGCCTCTGAAAGTTCTTGGTTCAGGAGCACCTTCGTAGGATCTTCAGAGAAAGGATTAGAGCTAGGGATGGGCATGAACCTCATCACAAACCTAAATTTGTCACAAAAATCGCTGGGTCATGGTTCGTGAACCAAGGTTCATGCCCATTCGTATCAATGACCCTCTCACAACACTCCACTTTTTTAAGGAGGTTCGTGCAGCTCGTGGTGGGAAGTGGGGAGGAGTGAGAGGGATTGCTGAAATGGCTTGCATCCATTTCAGCCTAACAGTGGGTGAGGGAGCGAAATGGGGGTTTATGACCTAACAGCTGACAGGCACACCAGCCCCACTGTTAGGCTGAAATGGATCTGCGTGCAGTGGGAAGGGCTGTCCTGGCCACAGGCGGTTCCTGGCTGCCATGGCTTCTCCTCCCGTGGCATGCTTTAAACCACACTGCGGGAGAAGAAGCTGACCCCAGGATCTGCATGCAGTTCTCCTGCTGCAGCATCTCTCGCCTGCAGGGGAACCATTGTACTGCATCAGAAACCTCTCAGAACCAACTGGTTTGGTAAACGGGGAGGTCCGTGAAGGTTCGTGGTTCATGGGGCCCCATGCACTGAAACAAACCTTGATTTTCCCATCCCTAGTTAGAGCTACGTAATGTCACAATCCCTAAACTAGTTAATATCATAAACAGAGCCACAGGATAAGAATATTCCAGGATTTTTTTTCAAAAACAGTCAAGGAGTATACCATTCAGTGCCTTCATACTAATTACATTGTGTAGATATCCCTGAAATGAATCTCTAAAAGTGACCTGCCCAGGAAAGTTTCTGAGGGGGGACATGTCACTTGTCCTTAAAATACAAATTAAGATTATTACAGTGTTTTCACGCAAATAGTATTCATGATGTGGCTTGCCTCTTTTAATGGTTTTGCTCTATCAAAATGCAAAGTTTCTGAGTAACAGCTGACCAGAGCAACCTATTTGATTACATAACAATGAAAAATGCAGCTGGCAGGGCCCGCAGCAAGTTGTTTTCTCTAACTGCTTTATATGTAACTAAATACATACAACAGAAATGTGTTTACACATTTGCCATCTGAAGGCAAAGGAAGGAACAGGCTGAACTATGGAAAATGGAGTTTCAGAAGCTGTGTGGGAGGCACACAGCACAGGCTTTTGTGATTTGTACTGTGAGTGATTCTGCTGGAGTCTGAATGATTCTGCTGGATTATTCAAAGCACTGGGGTTCAAAAGACCTGTAATTTGCAAATCTTAAATTAAAGCACTAGCAGAGTACCTGCCATTAATGACTGATGGGAGGTCCTGTGAATCACCAGGCAGGGCAAGTGAGAGCACTGAGAGCAGTAATACTTTGGCAGCTGCAGGCAGCCTGTGCAAAGGTAGCAAAAGACCTTCACCTTTGCTTATCCATTCTGCTCTCCGTTGGTCTCCAGGCTCTGATCTCCATTGCTCTCTAGGCTCAGAAGTCTAACTTTCATGTTGGACTTCTGATGGGGTGGGGTGGGGGGAGATTGCTTAAACACCCTCAAGTTTACTCCCTACATTAAAAAACCCCTTGTTCTAATCCAGTGGGGGGGATGATCATTTTTGAAAATCTGAATCAGAGTGAGGTGCTCTTAAGTGTATTGGTTTCACTGAGTTTGAGCACCTCTCTACTAAATTGTGGCCAACGCAATTTTCGGTATTCTTTCTCTCTCAAACACCATGACATATATACATTTATAACACAAGCACAGCATTAAGAGTGCATTGAAGTGCCCATGCACTAAGTTTACAGTATACACCACTAATCACAGACTGACCACTAATCCACCTAAAATACTGTCCCATCTTTTCTTCATTTTTGTTTTGTACTGCTGGGAGGAAGACCCTACTCAATAGGCAGATAAGGCAGAGATTAATGGATTCCCCAACTCAAAATGGAAACCTAGGGAGGTGTGTTACTCTGGCATTTCTGTCTCTGCTTGGTCACAAATTCTGTATCCATTCACTTGCCGTGGCCCTAAAAGCTGCCCCCTTTTTTTGGTGACAGCCATGCCATAGATGTGGACACTTGCATCTCTCCTAAGGAACCATGCTTTTTGTTTGTTTGGGGAGGGTTTTTTTTTCTGAGCCACAATGCAAGAGAAAGTTTTCTGGTACATCATCAACTTAAGCAGTCACTGACTCACACACACAGAGTTAAAAATAAACAGTGAACATACAGAGTCCTTGATAACCATTTACAAGACTGGATCATCTTCCCACTTGATTTACAAAGCACTTAAATTCTTCTTGCTTGCACAAAAGCAGGGTTTTAAAAAATTCAATATTCCCTTCAAGCTTAAAGAATTTAACAATAATGCTTTTAAGGTTTTTCTTCTCCTGTGCAACATACACAATTGAATAAGCCTGAAGGATTTGTGGGATGGGTTTTTTTTCCTCCAGGGAACACAACCAGCTATATTATCAAGCAACACATCATGGATAATTCATGGCAGCCCCTATATTTATCAGCTCTGGCCAGATCCCATCAATGGCCAATTCTGTCTCCCAGTAACATACTTTGATGGTTTTTGACAAAAAAAAGCATAGCTGTGATTTCCCACAGTATAGATTATCATGGATAAAATTTTTAGAACTCTTTATTTGTAGATAGTGTTGACCTGCAGTGTGTGGCCATCTAAATACAGATTCATTGTCAAAACCCATTTTTCTATTATCTGTTAATAGGAACACC